TCTCAACAACCGTTCATCTGAGTGACGTGAAATTTGTTTTGCAGTATGTTAATAATGTTCTCTTTCCAAAAATGCATTCATGTTTATTACAAATATTTGATGTCACAGGCCCTTTAAAGCTACCAGGAGAGAGGCTAATGGGGCGGAGTTAGGAGGCAACAGGGCGGGGCCAAACATGGACACCGAAGTGAACATTTAATTCATCATATTTACAGAAAAACTGATTGTTTATATTATAATCATTTCTAGATTCAAACCAGCAACTTGTTTAATTAAGAACTGTTTTGTCTCTTGGCTCAAACTGATGAACTATTTGTTGGCGGACTTTCCTCACACCAGGCAGGAACAGGAAGTAGTTTCCTCCTCCTCACAGCGAGGCTCAGCAGGACGGAGGTGTTTTTAATTTATTTCATAAAGCTGCACACACACACACACACACACACACACACACACAGAAACAACTAACCCTTACAGCAGGGACGTCAGCAGCCTTACCTAGCTTGGGCAGTGAGTACTGGACTTTGAAGTAGTCCTGGTAAAATCCCAGCAGCCTCTTGGTGATGTGAAGAGCGTAGTCCCCCGCGCCGCTCGATATGGCGTCGGGCCGGGCGTACAGGCGGATCTGAAGACAGACACGGGAGCAGAATGAGGCCAGTTTTAATAGAGACGCATCTAAAAACAGACACGCGGACAGGAAGTTGGGATTAGTGGAGTCTCGGCTCTGCAGAGAACAACTCATTTTTCTGAACGTAAAACAAAACAAACAGGAAATGAAAGTTGGCCGAGGTTGAAACGCCGGCTGAGTGGATTCTGTCCACAGAGAAGGACAGAGACGTTCTGCTCAAACGTGCAGAAAGACAAATGGAATCAGGCCAGTGTTGAGCGGGTCGGGCCTCCGGAGAKCAGAACTGAATCAGACCCACTTCCACAGCGAGGAGTCAGGTTTGGGTTCAGAACCGTGGAACAGGAACATCCACTCAGGAGAAAAGCTTTGGGACGTTTCCAGAACTCGGCTCAGTCTGATGGGAAACTAGAAGCTGAGAATTCATTAAAATCAGGTTTTTTCTGCCAGAAACAACCTACATGTGARTGAACTGGTTCTGATCCAATTATCTGAGAAGACTTTGTGTTTCTGGTGCGTCCCCGGCTCTTCTGCTCAAAGCTGTGGTCAATAATCGATGGTGGCGGGTCACGTGACGGCTCCACGCCCGGCGGCGCTCTCGTGCAGTGCGGTGACCTCACTGTTGACCTCTTCGATCAGAATCAACTTCRTGTTTGAGCTCCGATGGAAACCTGGTCCTGTGCAGCGTTCGCTCAGCTGTGGGCAGGAAAAGCCTGAAACYGTTCTGCAGCAGGAAGTGGACCTCTGCTGGTTCTACTGATCAGGAACGGATCGAACTGTTCTATTGTTCCTGTCGCTGGCTTTACCTGTTACCTGAGCAAAGAAAGAAGAKATTTAATCCCACTGAAGGCTCAGTTCAAGCTAAGTATCACTTTTACACAAACACGGTGGATAATTACGACAAATCATTACAGAGTGTGTGAGTCGTCCCTGCTGGGGTGAGACCACCCTGGAGGGATTATACAGGTGAGTCAAAAGTCTCAGGACACAAACGGGAAAATTAAATATCTGAAAACCTCCGGTGCGACTCTACGCAGCCCGCGAGGGGACACGGGGGGGAAGTTTTTTCCTTTTGCGTTCCCACGCAAAAGTTTGTTTTGTATATGAACTGACTTAAATCAGACTTTTATTTTGAAATATCCGGTTACCAAAACAGGATGTGTCGCCACAAGTTCGTGAAACTGACATTGATGTTGCGTGGCTGCACTGTGTTCAAACATCTGCATATGGCACACCTCCATGCGTGGCTGTGTGATATATTCATTCTGAAGKTGAATTAAAGCAGTAGCTAACTCACTAATGGTGAACATGTGAGTTTGTTAATAAACRYGCAGCACAACAGTGATAAACGACTTTTGCGAGGGAACGCAAAAGGTATCGCCAGGTAACGCTAAAGTATTGCGAGGTAACACAATACTATTGCGTGGGAACGCAAAAGAAAAAAAATCTCCKATGTCCCGTCYCGGGCTCCGTAGAGTGAGGCGACGTCTCCATTTTTAAAAGCAGCCATATTGGATGGACGTCCCTCCTCTAAAACAGTGGTTCCCAAACTTTTTATCCTCTGACCCACAAAATATTCATGGCCAACTTGTGACCCCAAATATTACTGGTCTGAGTACACAAACTTTGTTAATAACCCTAAAAACACAGGCTTTTTGACAATCTAAACAGCTT